GGGGGGGGGGGGTTTTTTTTCCCTCCCCCCAATCTTTTTTTTTTTTTTGGGGAAAAAAAAAGTTCCCCAAAAGGGGGGTTGGGGGGGGTTTTTCCCCCGGTCTCCTTTTTTTCTTCCGCGTTTTTGTTTCCCCACCAAGGTTTTTGGGGGAAAGGGGGGGGGTTTTTTTTTTACCTTTTTTTTTTTTTTTTCCCCGGGGGGAAGGGGTCAAGGCTGGGGGACACCCCCCCGCCGGGGCCTCCCCCCCTTGGGGGGGAGAACCCTTTTATAAAAAAAAACGGGGCGGGGAAAAATCCGGGAACAAAGGGGGAACCCGGCCCCCCTTTTCGTTGGGTTTGTTTTCTGGGGGAAAAAATTTCCCGTTTTTTGGGGGGCGGGGGGTCGGTGTTCCTTTGGCCGGTTAGGCCCGCCGGTCCTGGGGGGTAGGGTTTCCCTTTTTTTTCCCCTCCCGTCTTTTGGGGGAGGGGGGGATATGGTTTTCCCCGTTAAGCAAGGAAAAAAAGGGGTCCCCCCCCCCCCCCCCCCGCCTCTCGCCCAATCTGTCGTGCTGTCGTTGGCAGTTTGTAATGAAGGGGTGGCTTCCTTCTCTAGCCGAACGTACTTCACCGGGAACACTGTACCCGGTGAGCGTGGTGCGGTAGTGTGGCTATTGCTTCTTGCTGCAGCTGTTGCTTCTAGGGCGAGATTTCACTGTATAATACCACAGCAGTAGGTCGCATGCTGGTGGATGATGCAGGTCGTGGTAACACTTGAACTGCCGCGCTCTTTCATAGGCACTACTGCTGTTTGTTGTTGAGCTAGACAGCTATTTACCAACATCAAGCAATGAGTTCATTAGCGGGCACCCTTCACATCTGTTAAAAAAACACGCGCAACATAGAATCCGTGATATCACCCTGTTATATACATTGTGTGTGTTTTTCCTCTTGACAGTCGATCGCGCTGACCAATGATAAAGCGCCAGTCTCAGGGCGGCTGAAAAGAGAAAGAAAATGATCCCAAGCGCCGTCCGTACGTGACGACTGACCATCGCGCAGAACACTCGTTGTACGGGAGGGGCGAGGGGGGCGCCTTGTTTACCGCCGCCGGTGCGGTTACGACGTTGGTCCGGAAGGCTAACTTTCGCAACAACAGGAGCGGGGGCGAGGGGGGGGCGATTTACAGTGCGGGGATCACGACGCTACAAGGGAGCGGGGTCTTCTACGGGAACATGGCGTGGGTGAGTTGGTGCTTTTCGTTTTTTGTGTGTTGGAGGAAGTCTGAACACGTTAGCTGTGTGGGCTGTTCGATGGCGTGGCAACCGGCCGTGAGCTTGTCTCGAGATGTTGTTGTTGTCTTTGCCTTACACAATTGTTGATTACACGCACGGCTGTCCTGTCACGATCCCACTCTGCAGGGCATCCTGTGTACATAGCATATAAGGGGTACGTGTCTCGTACATTGCTTGGATCGACTGTTGGTGGGCAAAAGAAGATTTGTTTGTTTTCCGAGGTTGTTTCTAATCTCGTGCTCTTTATCATAACCCCATGCTACCTTCTGGCTCTTGTTTGCATGCTGCTTAGCGCTAGCCTATATTTTCGTGTTGTTGAATGCTACGTATCATCTCACTTGCTGGTTGTAGCGCTACCTTATTGATGCTGTGTATTGCTACGCATCGTCTCACCTGCTGTTTACGCTACACTATTTTCGGTGCTGTAATGCTACGTAACATCTTTCCTGCTATTTACCTTCTGTTGAATGCTATGTATGATCATTTGTGTCCAGGGGTGGGCGTCAGGGCGAGGGGGCCACGTGTTTTCCTCGGGGGTGTTCGAGGTCAAGCGGGACACATCGTTTAGATCGGGAAGAGCATCCCACGATGTGAGATAAACGTGGTTGACTGTTCATTCATAAAATGCCGTCTTATTGATGGCACATGCTCTTTGGCTTGGTTCACAAACGGTCTGTTTGGACGACACTCTGCTGTATTCACACGCGGTGTGGCTTGGCAACAAGTCACACATGTGGTCTTATTTGACAATTTTATGCACAGTCTTGTTCACCCGCGGTATGTGTTGGCTAATTCACTCGGTTTTGGTTGGCGATATTCACGCACGTTTTCATTTCGCTATCCTGAAGCCCGATACATTCAGGCTATTGCGGTATCACTTGGCCGTGTTCCAACACGGCCTTGCTTGGCTATGCTCTCACGAGGCATTTTCAGGCTAGCCTTCATCTGGCCGTTTCACACCTTTTGTCACCCACATGGTTCTTTTATCACATGTTAGTTTTTACTTTTACAGGTATTGTCAGCTTCGTTTGTTCACATCCGGCCTCATCTGGTCGTTCACCCCATCAACTACTCACCCATGGTATTTTCAGACTCGTTTATGGACCTCCGGCCTCATCCGGCCGTTTTCACAACTTTAATATTGTCCTTGCTTCGCCGGTTTCCCTTGGGACTCAATCATCAGGGAGGAGCGCTGTTTGTTAGTGACATCGGTGAGGCTTGTTTCGACGGAGAGCTAGGGTTTCACGGTAACGAAGCGGTAAGTCCTGTGTTCCACCCCTTTTTTAAAGGTTAATTACATATCAGCTTTGTTTGATTTGGTTTCGTTCGCTACAGTAACGGCTATGGTTTAAGAGGTATTTTTTATTAGAAAATCGGATTTCAAGAGATTGTTTTTAGGTTGTCCCGACCATGAGAAATACATATTGGTACTTTGAACAAGTACATATGACACTGTACGTTATTATAGAAACCGGGTTTATGAAGGTGTTGCTGGCTTGCCCGAACTCTCTCTTCAACCGCAGCCATTTCTGTTTTTTTCCTCTTCACAACGCACGAGTCGTGCTTGCACGAAACAGACCACATACCAGACGAACGCAACGTCTGATATTCAACAGAAAGGATATTTATATTTTTGTCCGATCTGTGTGCTACGTATTCCGCCATATCTCCCTGTCCCATGTGAAAGAAAAACTGAGCGTCATCCAACAAGCTTTTGTGAACGTTTCAGCGTAGACCTCGCGTCTGAACGCATGCAGGAGTACCGTACCCTTTTCTGCTCTGCGTCTCACAATGATGATGATTGGTCATACGTATGCATACATGGGATGGCCTCTCTCTGTATTGAGAAAGAAATTAGTACGTGAGGAACAATCAATCGCCCGCTCACGGAGAGCATGTCATTTCCGACTCTTGTCTGTCTGCCCGCATCTTATGTTTTCATTTCGCCATCATATCGTACGATGGCGATGATAAGTCATATACATGACCTACAATATCTGTCGAGAAAGAATCTTTTTAACGGCGGAAAAGTCACCCCGCTCGCGAAATGTATTCATTTTGGCCATTATTCTCCGACTCTTGTTGTGCTGCCCGCAGCTTTGTCTTTTCGTTGCCCCATCATATCTTACCGTGGTGTCTAATACGCTCCTCGCTCCCTGTCCCACTGGAGTCTTCGGTGGTTTTGCGTCCGTTGGCGCACCCACTCTCTCTCTGTCACTCACTGTCTGTCTGTCTGTCTGTCTGTCTCTCTCTCTCCCTCTCTCTCTCTCTCTCTCTCTCTCTCTCTCCAGGCGCGACAATGTCACGATGTTTACGATGCGAGCAGCAAGACCGTCTGCCTTTCGGTGGGATGAGAATGAAGGTGTTTACGACACGGACCCATTCGGCGGCTCCCAATCCACGTGTCCCCGAGAAATGGTAGTTTAGCGACGTCAAGCGGCACAACACCATTGTCAGCTTTGTTCGCCCTTCGATGGGACAAGAGATGGAGTTCCACTTGCTTAGCATGGCGAGCGAGCGAGTGAACGGTCAGGGTTGGACCGCTCGCGAAAGAAGTTCGTTCGGAGGGGGACGTTCCGTTGTAGCATGTTTACCCACTGCCTGCCTGCCTGAACGATTGGTGTGTCGCCCAATATATCTACAATAAGCCGGCACAAGGGGGTCGGTATGTCCAAAAGAAAGGCAGACTCTTGGCACGTGTAGTACGCGTTTGCCAGAACAGGCCACGATGGTCAGATGCGCACACCGGAGGCTGCTTAGCAAGCCACTTGAGCACCCGCAGCGTCCTTGCAGCATATGGCCCGAACAGCAGCATGCATGGTGCACATGTGGTTAGTCGATGCTCGTTCGATAGAAGCAACAACACGACGGCATGAGTTGCATCCTGTATTTGTTGCCGTGAGGGCGGAAAGGCGTGGCGTGAGCAACATGCTGGATAGCATACCGGGGATGGGGTTTGGCTTGGCGTCGTCGTTTGGTGGTAGTTGTTCGTGTTCGTGCGTCATCTTTGCGTACCGCTGTATTCCAGCAGCGGCGTAGATCGCTGGATGAAAACCACTTCGGCTTCTTCCGCTGCCCGGGCGGGCCCCTTATTATAGTAGTCATGAACACACATGAGATTTCGTCTTGGTATTTTAATATATTTTTGTGATTTGTTGTTTACTTGCGAGTTTTTGGGGGCACCGCCCTGCCTATCAATTAATTTTATTCCCTGCGATGTACCGCCGTTATTATTTGCTGCTGCTGCTGCTGCTGGTGCGGTTTGTACCACTACGGTGCAGGCCGTGAGGAGCGATTGTGATTTGTACGTTTCCTGCGCTGTGCCTTGCGTGCGTGCGGTGCAACGAACGAAACACTAGAGACATATCTGTTGCAGGGAGGCATAACATCATTCATGTATGAACAGTCTCTCGCATGCGTAACGTTTACGTTCTTGGTGTCATATCCTGCCTCCTTTGTTAAGTGCACCATTGGCGGAGGAAGGTGGGGGGTCTAAGAGGAGACGACCTTGTTATTGTAGAGCGCGGGCAGTGTTTGTTTGGCCAACCGGGAGTCATTACTATGATGCGCGGGGTACTTTACTACATGGTTTATGCATACATACATGCGTGTGTCGACATTTCTTCCGACTTTATTTGTAGCAGACGGGGGTGGCCCACGAAGAGGATAAGAATGTGGTACGCAGTTTCCTGGATTGGTCTAATGTCGCAGGGTTATTTGTATGTATCGAGGGCACCCTCGAATCGATATTGGGCGTTGCGATGTTGTGTGGTGTTTTTCCTCGCTCGGGACTGTTCTGATTAGAAAGTGGATAGCTTGTCGCAGGCAGGAGGAGAGGAGCGGGTCATCGTATCCCCACCACCAAATGAGTTCAGGCTTTTGGTGGTGCCGGCTAGTGTTTGGCCAACTGCTTAACCCCGTCGGCCCTGTCACGTTTCGCCCTGGTGACTATGTATGTAGTGGGCAAAGGGTCCCCGCAATGAACGGCTGACTTGGGACTGCTGCTGTAGTTGGCTTGTTGGGCAATCTTGGACGAAAATCGCGTTTGTTGGGGTCTTGCGTGGTGGGTGGGAGCAGCTGGGCATCCCATCTCAAAATTTTGGAACTTGGCTCATACTGTGTTCTCACCGACTGTTGGTTGGGAAAGCTCCTTGTTCGTGGTATTTCACCGACGTGTACCCGTAGCGTGAACTTGTGGGGGTAACTGACGGGAGACCGTCGGCTTGCTCGTTGATGTTTGTTGGTTTGTCCGGACGTTGCCTGACGCACAAAGAATGACTTCCAAATTCTGGTGCCTGTTTCGGCTCTCTCATGCTTGCTCTTTATGCAAGAAGAGTACCATATGTGCCATGTAGATGCATTGTACGTTTTTTGTCTGTTTTCTCGCTAGTGCTAAGAAAGAAGAAAGTCTGTTGTGCGGCACCGCCGAGTTCATTGTTTACGGTTGTCTCGAGTCTGACGGGACGATTCTCGCTGCAGCATCCTTGTCATGCTTACACGTCGCCTACACGTAGTCTACATGTCGATTTTCTAGGTAACAGCAAGGCTGCTGTACGCGGTGCGTCCGTGACTCTGTGTTGGCACGCCTCAACGCAAAGGTGGGTGCCAGGACCACTAGCATAGGCGGCATTTTTGTAGTAGGTGTGTTGCGTCTTTCTTGCCCTATTTTGTACTTTTACTTTTGGGGGGCTGGTCTCGGCTGATGATGAGTTCGCTCAGCAAGTGAGTGTGCCCGTCGTTAACACTGAGAGTTTCAACATCAATATGATAACGAATGAATATATACATGTCTCGGAAGCTTCCCTTATGGACACCCTATGGAAACCTTACGAAGGCGTCCCGTTTTTTGCGTGGCTCGATGAACATATAATGAACACTGTTGCGTCGACGTTTCTTCTTCTTGGATTCGTCTGATTTAGTTAGGTACGCAAACGATGCTTGGTTCATGATGCCGCTTTCACTCGTGTGCGGCCGAACCCTCGCATTGCTGTAGAATCCCAAACTCGGCAGCATTTCCCCCCAAAATCCGGGGTGATCCCTGTGCTAGCATACTGTAGTACAATACAACCCCATTCTTGCTCAGGGTGAAATAGCCTCTCTCCGAACAACACATACACGTGGGACCGATTCCTTCCGCGGCAGGATTTTCCCATCCATCCATCCATCCTTTCTTCCAACATGCAGAAAAGATACACACGACTGCTACCGATCTGTCTTGTTGAGCCTGTTAGCCACAGGGGAGACAGACTATCGCTTGTTTGCTGCTAGAAATATCAGAGGCTTCCGCTGACGCTATGAATTCATTGTTATTCTACAATGTATTGGAGTATGGATAGAGATGGATTCGTCTTTGTCGTAATATTTTAACGAGAATAAATGCAATCCGCATGGAGAGCTTATTTATTCGGCAGGTACATGTATAGTTTTCGAGCAAATTCTCCGTCTCAGCTCGGGTGGGATCAGAAGCTTTAAGCCGGGCCCACACCTGCCTACTCCATTGTGGAGAGACAGCTCCAGTGGATGCCGTACAGTAAGCGCCCGCAATTAAGAAATATTTTGTTAAGAAAGAGAGGCTCACTTTCCCACGAAAAATAAGAAAACAGGGTTAAGAAACATAGCTCAGTCTGGGTCACACAATGAGAAATGTCTCAATAAGAAACAGCGGTGAGCGCCGCCCTACTACATATGAAACGAGGGGTTACGGGGGGGGAGTGTGTCGAATAAGAAACACCCCACAGCCAGCTCCTCCTATCTCTCGTTCTTTCCCCCCTCTCCCACTACCCCCCCCCGAGCCTGGTCCGGTGAGAACCCGGTGTGCTCCGTCCCGGCTTTGTAGGGATGCGAGGTCAATGGTCTAATGACTACGGCATGCACGACTATGGGTACCCCCCCCCCCCCCCCCCCCCCCCCAGAAATGCATTATTATTTGTACCCCCAGGGGGGGATGGTGTTTTTTTTTGGGGTGACCCTGT